GAAAGACTGGCAACCTATTTTGTTAAAGAAGCTGTAAAGACTATGCAAAATGATATGATCCATAGATAGGAATGACAGTGTCTACCAAAATTACTGGTATATTTTTTCTTTGATAGACAAATGCCACTTTGGGGATACCTAATCATAAATACAACTATACGTGTATTAAACAGCATATGTACAAAGTTATTCATTGCAGTTTAGTGGCAAAAAATATACATCCAGTTGTCCCTTAAAAAGAGATTGGTAAAATAAACAATGATACATCCACCCAACGAAGTACTGTCCAACTATAAAAAACAAAGAAGATTCCCATATTCTGATTTGGAAAGGTATCCAGGCTAAATTGTTAATGGAAAAACTAGGTGCCAAACAGTGTATTTGGTCTGGTACTTTTTGAATAAGAAAAGAATAAGAATGTATATTCATGTGCATTTATATTTACATAGCAGAAGTGGTCAAACTTTTCCTGTTAAGAGCCAGACAGTAAATATTTTCGGCTTTGTGGGCCACACAATCTCTGCCATTGCAGCCTGAAAGTGGCCCTAGACTAATGGATTTGTTTCAATAAAACTTAATGTACAAAATAAAGGTAGCCAGCTTGCAGGTTGTAGCTCATTAACAACTGACAGGAAGAAATACTTAAGGACAAATAAACTAAAAAAAATAGAGGAAACAGCATAGATGAGAGAAAAGAGAAAAATATGTAAATTGGACTTCTTCAAAATTAAAAACTTGTGTGTGTTAAAGAACAGCATCAAGAAAATTAAAAGATAAAGCACAAAACGAGAGAAAATATTTGTAAGTCATATACCTGACAAGGGATTTGTCTCCAGAATATACAAAGAATTCTTACAACTCGGTAAGATAAATAACCAAACTAAAAAAAAAAATGGACAATGGAGTTGAATACACATTTCTCCCACGAGGATATACGAACAGCCAATAAGCACATGAAAAAGATATTCAACATCCTTAGTCACCAGAAAAATGTAAATCAAAACCACAATGAGATACCACTTCAAATTCACTAAGATGGCTATAATAAAAAAAAATACAGATAATAACAAGTGTTGGTGAGGATGTGGTGAAACTGGAACTCTCATACATTGTTGTTGGGAAAGTGAAATGGTATAGCTGCTTTGGAAAAGTTTTTTGGGAAGCAGCTCCTCAAAAGGTTAAATATAAGGTAGATGCAACCCAAGTGTCCATCAATGGATGAATGGATAAACAAAATGTGGTACAGCCATATAATGAAATATTATTCAACCTTAAAAAAAATTGTGACACATACTACAACACAGATAGACCTTGAGGACATTATTCTAAATAAAAAAGCCAGACACAAAAATACAATACTGTATGATGCCACTTATATGAGATATCTAGGGTAGTCAGATTCACAGAAACAGAAAGAATGGTGGTTGCCAGGAGCTGAGGACAGGAGGAAAAAGAGTTGTTTAATGGGTGCAGAATTTCAATTTTGCAAACTTCTGGAGATTGCGTGCACAATGTTGTGAATGTGCTTAACACTGCTGAACTGTACACTTAGAAATGGTTAAGACAGTAAATCTTATGTGTTTTTTTATCACAATAAAAAATGTTAAAGAAAGTTAAATATAGAGTTACCATACGACCTAGAAATCCCACTCCTAGGTATACACCCAAGAGAAATATAAACATATGTGCACACAAAAACCTGTAGCATTATTCACAATAGTCAAAATTTAAAACAATCCCAATGTCCAACAACTGATGAATGGATAAATACAATGTGGTGTATCCATACAACAGAATATTATTCAGCAATAAAAAAGGGATGAAGTACTGATATGTGCTACAACATGGATGAACCTTGAAGATATTATGCTAAGTAAAAGAAACCAGACACTAAAAGACAAATACTGTATGACTCCATTTATATGAAGTATCTACAACAGGCAAATTCATAAGACAGAAAGCAGAATGGTGGCTGCCAGGGGCTGTGGGGGCAGGGAAGAATAGCAAGTTATTGTTTAAGGGGTACGGTTTCTGTTTGGGATGATGAAAACATTCTGGAGATGGATATTGGTGATGATTACATAACTGCAAATGTAGTTACTATACCACTGAAATGCACACTTAAAATGGTTAAAACAGCAAATTTTATGTTGTGTATATTTTACCGCAATTTTAAAAAAGCCATCGAGCTGCTCCTACCTCTCTCAGCCCACGGCAGTTTTCTTTCGCAACAGCTTCTACTTTTCTTGCTTAGGATAAAGGCCTGCCTGGGGCTCTCCTGCAGACCATCAAATCACCCAGGCACTGGTGACATGTAACCAGCTTTGACTTGTTATGAGAACAGGAGATAGGAAGTACTTATATTTCACATTTATGATTCTCCCTAGAATACCCTTGGGGTAGTTCAATAGTTCCCCTCCCCCACAAGCATTTTTCCAGAATATCACTGTTTAATGGGACCTTCTACGATGAGGAAAATGCTCTCTTCACTGTGCCTATTGAGCACTTGAAATGTGGCTAGTATAAAACAGGAACTGGCTTTATTTGATTTTTTGACTAGTTGAAATGTAAACTTGTGGCTACCATACTTGGACAGCTGTGGTTTTAGAACTTTTTACAAAGGAAGCAAAATGACAGATCCATATCTTTTGTGTGGAGATGCCAAAAAAACTGAGTGGTAGAAATCAGGAAGCCGAGAGAGGTGATGGGGAGGGTCATCTGTTTACTCCATAAATCCACTTACTGGAGGTGTGTATAATCTTTATCAAACCTATAAAAGAATGTTAGTTATAATGATGTACCGAGAAATGATGTATTTCTAGGCAATCTGGACCCAGAGCAATAAAAGGTTAAATCCCCGTCGCGTAGCTCTGGAATTGAAAGCCCAAGATTTCTGGCTGACTGAACCCTCACACTCAACCAGAAGGAAGGTGACTGTTTATTAATAGAGGCTTGCTATACATATACATACACACACACACATACACCACCACCACCACCCCAGAGAAGCAATGCCACAGCATACCAATTCTTCGGAGTTGGCACCAGCAGGCAGGAGGCTACAGTTGTGCCTAAGGGCAAAATGGACATTGAACTTTTCAGAGGAGTCTGTTCAAACTCCAATTTCAGAGGAGAATGAAGAGAAAGTAGAGAAAACCAAGTGGTTCCAGGTGAAGTGGGATCCTGAACAACTTTTCTAAAAAGATGTTGTACTGAAGAGAATATACTCAGAGTGGTCAGAAATGTCAAGAGGCTGTTTTCTACTGGCCCAGCTGTGACTTGTTTGAACAAGTCTAACACTCCACCCCCCTTCCAGCTGGTGAGGATTTGCTCTGCAGAAAACAGATCAGTGTTCTCCCGGCAAAGAATGAACGGTGATAAACCTAGCTTACTACTTCAGCATGGTGTTGCAGGTCTGTTAGAGAAACTCCCCTATTTACCTTCCCATATGCTTCCAGGTTTGGGGGAGGCACTGTAACTTGCTTTTGACCAGTGGGGAAACCGAGGCATAACGACTCCCAGGTAATTACTGTCTCACAGACGATGCTTATGAATGTCACCCAAGTGCCAGAAGCCTGTCACATGGATTTCAAAGGGTGGGTAAGGAAAAGAGTCAAGCAACAAACAGTCCATGAAACACCTGGAGAAACTCTTGCCAACCAAAAGTATTGAATTTAAGGCTGGGTTCTTATGGCACACTTACTACAGTGAGCTTAGAGGTCTAGTGTTCCATTCCAGCAACAGAAGAGACCCTGATCTCCGAATGTTTGTGCATTATGGGATAAAAGCTGTCTATCACACTAGTGGTAGAGCACAGCCCCACTGTCGATGTGTTTTGAGGGCTAGAATTAAAGTGTGCAAAAAAAATGCTGTGACACTTCTAAGAGCTCCCCCCCCACACACACGCACTCAATTGTAAAGCACCCATTCCCCCCCTGGGCTGAGAATGGAGTCACCCGGGAAACATTAAACAATCAGAGGCTTCAGATGCTGAAGGTGTTGGTTTGGGATACAATCTGGGCATTGGAAGTTTGAAAAGCTCCTCAGGTGATAGTAATGTGTAACCAGGGTTAAGACCCATTGCTGTAAGACAGTGGTTCCCAACCTTTTTGGCACCAGGGACCGGTGCTCCTATTAGAATTTAATGCCTGATGATCTGAGGTGGAGCTGAGGCGGTAATGCTAAAGGTGGGAACAGCTGCAAATATAAATGAAACTTCCCTAACTGCCTCGCCCATCTCAGGCTGTGCAGTTCCTAAAATGGAACTGGTAAATAAGTCCGCGGTATAAGTCCGCGGTATAAGTGCGCAGTGTAAGTCCACGGTATAAGTGCGCAGTATAAGTCCACGGTATAAGTGCGCAGTATAAGTGCGTGGTATAAGTGCGCGGTACTAAGTCCGTGGTATAAGTGCGCGGTATTAAGTCCGTGGTATAAGTCCGCGGTATAAGTCCGCCGCACGTGGGTTTGGAGACCGCTGCTGTAAAAATTGAATCCGCTACTGTAAAAATTGGATAACTGATCGGGAGACTCAGCATCATTTGGGTTACAGGCTGTTTCTTGGGTCATCTGATGTTTAAGCATAAAGAGGTCTAAATGCTGTACTCTATACCCTCGTGACTATTTTGTAACTACGCATCTCTATTTCTTCACCCCTTCACCGAGTACAGCATAGAGAATATAGTCAAGTAGTACGAAAATGGCCGTGTGTAGAGCCGGCTGATACAGTAATGGGGGAAATCGCTTCATAAACTACATAAACGTCTAACCAATGTACTGTAAACCTGAAACTAATAAAAAAAATAATAATAAAGAGCTATAAATGCCGGCGGCCTCTGTTTTACTATCTGTAAAAGGGTATAATGCTACCTACTCTCCCCTTTCCCAGAGTCGTCGAAAAACGGTAGGGGGTGCTAGAATGGGGAGGGACTGGCGCCATGGCGCCTTTGAGGAAAAGGAAAGCAGGCAGGATTGGGACTGGGGTAAATGGGGTACTGCCTCACCTGCATTGTAGAAGGTGTCGAGAACGGCCGTCTCCCCGAAGTCGAGTTTCCCGAAGGGCACGATGCTGAGGTGGGCGCCCTCAGCCTCGCAGGCCCGCAGCAGACACCGTTGCGCTCCCACCTCAGGGCTGCCGGCGGCGTCACCCTGAGGGCTCTCGCTGCACACATAGACTGCCCTCAGAGGCCGCCGCGGCGCGACTTCGCCCTCGCCTTCCGCCCTCTGGGCCGACCCGTCGAGCTCCCCAGGCCCAGCCGCGCCCTCGCCTCTCGGGGACAGCGGGTGCTGTGGAGACTCGACAGCCTCCCCGAGAGCCTCAGGCGAGGGAATCCCGCCGCCGCTCTCCACGTAGTTTGCCTCAGAGCCCTCCATCGGTCCTGATGCCGCGCGAGTGGCCGGCGGCTGTGCTCCGCTGAGGCGCACGAGACCCGGCACCTGCTCCCGGAGCGCGGGAGAGGAGCCGGGGGATGGGCGGCTACCGGAGACCTCGCAGCGAACAGAAGACAACCGAAACCCTCAGCTGCCGACGACGACGAAAGCCGCGCCGTCCTCTGAGCGCGCCTTTTAAAGGCCCGGCAGAGGTGGGCGGGGCTGAGGACGTCAGTGTCGTAAGGGCGCGGGGAGATCTGGGAGGGGCGACGGGGCAGGAGCGCGCAGGGTGCCCCCTACCGCTTCCCCCGGGCAGCGCTCCGAGAAGGGCGGCTTTGTGAATTTCAGAACTTTGTCAGTTACTATCTCTCCAGCCTGACCAATTTTTGTTTTTCTCAAAACAGCTTGAGGCTTTCCAAGCAGAGTAAAAACTCTCGCAAAGCGCTGGCTGGGTGTAAATCCTATTCAATTCCAAACTAAGTAGAGATACAATTTTAACCTGGAATGGAAACGAAAAGGTGCTTACTTAAAACACCTCAGATTTTGCACTCCTTGTCTCCAGTTGCCAGCAGCATTGGCACTCCTGAGCACAATTCTGGAACCTGCTCATCCTGGTTTTCACTGTGAAACTTGACAAAGCACCGGGATGCACCGGCAACAAATTTTGCCTGGAGAGTAGGCTGCCTGTCGGACCTATGAAGTGCTGTGAACCCACAGAAATCTTTACGTGAAATCTTACCCATCTCACGATTTTAGACCCAAGTATTAAAAAGTAGTATTGCCACTGCAGGCAGTACTTGTATTTAAAAGATACGATGCACTGGACATTGTCACAAGGATTTCAGTTTTTCATTAAAAAAAAAAATACAGTTTTGTTGAGATATGATTCACAAACCATCCAGTTCATCCATTTAAGTGGTTTCTAGTATATTCAGAGTTGAGCAGCCATCACCACAATCAGTTCTAGAACATTTTCATCATCTCTTCCAGAAAAACCTTGTGCCCATTAGCAGTCACTCTCTATCCACCCCCCACACCCCCCACCAACACCTCTCAGCCCTAGGCAACCACCAGCCTATTTTCTGTCCCTATAGATTTGCCTATTCTGGACACTTCATATACATGGAACCACACAATGTGTGGAAAGAGGTTTTCATTTGCCATGGGTATATACATAGGATTAGGATGTCTAGGTCATATGGCAACTCTGTGTTTAACCTTTCAAGAAACTGCCACTATCTTCCCAAGTGGCTCCACTATTTTACATTCCCACCAGCAGTGTACTAGGGTTCCAATTTCTCCACATTTTCACCAACACTTGTTACTCTTTTTCATTGTAGCCATCTTAGTGGATGTGAAGTGCTCTCTCATTATGGTTTTGATTTGCATTACCCTGATAACTAATATTATTGAGCATCTTGTCCTGTGCTTATTTGCTATTTGTGTAACTTCTATAAGTTCATTCGGATCCTTTGCCCATTTTTAAACTAGATCTGTGTCTTTTTATTATTGAGTTGTAAAAGTTCTTTATATATTCTGGATACAAGCCACTTGTCAGATATATAATTTACAAATATTTTCTCACATTCTGTGGGTTGTCTTTTCACTTTCTTTTTTTTAATATGAAATTCTGTTTTTTTTTTAATTTATTATTATTTACGCCTACAGCACCTGGTCTTCCTAGGTGGTCTCCCATCCAAGTACTAACCAGGCCCGACCCTACTTAGCTTCCAAGATCAGACATCTGGCTTGTTCAGGGTGGCATGGCCATAGACCATGGACCATGGCTCCACTGGGGCACAAATCCAGGACCTTCTGCTTGTAAAGCAGAGGTGCTAACTGCTACACTATGGAACCACATCTATCTTTTCACTTTCTTGATGATGTCCTTTTTGCAGCATGTCACAAGCCATTCTGACACAAGCAGGATAGGATTTACCTTATAAAACAATATTTTGGCTTTTCTTCATGTTTCAATAATAATAATATAGTCCATTCCACCATCTCACCCAAAAAGGAAAGCAGAAACTGCTAGAATAAATCTTTGAAGAAATCCTGCCCTAATTCCAGTCCTGGTAGAAATTAGGGGCTTCACAAGTGGCATCAATGTGCACACTCTTCTGTGGCCAATGAATGGAAAATGGGCTCTGAAGAAATCTGTAAAAACACAGACCAGAAATGGGAAGAAGAAAGCTAGGGAAAACTTTCAACAACCCTGTTATAAGATTTTTTTTAACATGATGCTATAAAAGGACACATTTTCTTTGTATCTTTGTAATGCATAATAATAGTAATTTTCCTAATGTGCCTGTTCATCTGAGATTATTCTAATGACTGGAACAGGCTTCAGAAGAGCAAAAATACCCATTTCACAATCTCTTGCCAGTGTCTTGCTGTTGCCCCTACTTCAATCTTCCCATGTTCCTTCCAGCTTTCACTGGGT